TCCTGTGCACCAGACACTATTGCAAATGCTGGAGATAAAGTGGCTAAGGAAACAACAAGGCAATTGTCACGGCTTAAATTCTCTGATATATATGTAATGTGCTGGCATTTGATGAGCGTTCAAATGATTGCTTTTCTGTCTGAATGAGCCTTTGTGGCTAAAGGTTTGCAACGAACACCCACTTTTCCACTTTGGTTTCTTCGTTCCCTGTCGTTGCGGATCAAACTAAGGTCCATCGAGTGCCGGAACCATGAAACCTGTCACCCTCTGGATGATCGTGTCCATGGCCCAGCCCAGTGTAATCATACATTTTCTGTTCCAGCTCCACCACCCCTTCGACAGCTTTAGTGCGGGCACTAATCACCTTGTTTTAAACCAGTGTCATAATTATCAGCTCAGTGGACATTTGTTCACAAGTCCTACACACAGGCACGGGGGCAGCATAAAGATGAACAGGACGTCACGTCTGTCTTGAAGGATATTTCTATAACGTATCACATTTATTATGTCTTCGGGGACTGTTCTGAGTGCTTTAGAATTACAAACCAGTTATCCAGTGGGAGCCTTCAGGGTTAGATGTTACCCATTTTACAGACCTAGAAATGGACAGAACCAACCAGTCCCTTCTGGCTCGTAATGATCTTACAGGATTGAGTAGTGCTGCTCCCTGGGGTTTCCGAGACTCTACACCTTGAAGCAAGGGAGTAGTCATATCTTTCTCCCATGGAGTGGGCTGGTGTTTTGAACTGCTGACCTCGTGGCTAACAGCCCAGCACATGACCCACCATGCCACTTTGGAAACAGATTAAGTAGTTTGCCTGTGGCCCCACAGGTAAGATTCAAATAAAGGCATTCTAGAAGATGGTACTCTTGCCTGCTTCTTGTACGGGCAGCAAGATGTGCAACTATAATTCCAGCGTAATGCGTGTGCTGTGATTGCAATGTACAGCAAAAGAGCATGTAGCCCGCTCCCAAGAGTTCAAGAAACCTGGTGGCTAAGCTGCGTAGGAGTGAAGCGAGTTGGTGGAGGCCTGGCAGGCAGGGGCAGCAAAAGAAACTCAGGGAGCTGTGATCCAGCTGCGAGGGGAAGTACGAGCAGCTGCCTATTGCCAGAGCTCAACACTTGTTTAGCAAACTCATCTGAGCAACTGCCACTGGGGGCCCAGCCCCGTTCTTGGCAAGTGGGGCTGTAGCTGACGGCAGGACGACACCGCGGCCTGGGTCTGACAATCCAGTGGGCGCAGGAGGAGTAAATGAACGGGAGCTGCTCCCGTGGTGGTGAATGGGTTACAGTTGATGGGATCCTGGTCGTGGTAGCAGCCAACATGGGAGTACCCGGTCCTATTTTAAGCATTAACGCATCCCATCACTGACGCAAACATGCGAGTCAAGTGCTGTTGTGGGTCTCACGTGGCCGAGGGGAAACAAGTGCAGAGTGGTAACCTAGCCGGTTAATGTCAGCTGGGATTCTATCACGTGACTTCCGAGCTTGGGGTCTGAACTGCCCAGTTACTTTGCCTTGTGCCAGTGGGGCTCATTGAGTTCGTGTGGGTAGCAAGGCTTTCTCTGAGAAGATGGTATTTGGGCAGCCCCGCAAGGAAGGAGGAGCTATATTATCTCACCTTGCTGGGATCAGCACTTAACCCTTCTAAACCCCTGCCGGTTGTCTTGTTTTAGCGCCACAAAGACATTGGCAGTTCAATTTGCAGTTATTTCGATCACTGAATCTGGAAAAGATTGTATAAATCAGTTTTATGAAAGGCAAATGATAAATTATTTTGTCCTTATTCAAGTTTTTTTTCTTTTTCTATTAAGCATTTTTTTAAATGCAAGACTACTCCAGAGAACAATATGATATGCATAGTCTCCCAGCAAGAATTAAATGGTAACAGTTGTCAAATTTGGGTTTGCGCCATTTTTTAAAGTAAAAGAGATTACGGATCAGTGTGAGGTCTCCTCCTCTTCCTCCTCCTCCTCCGTTCCATTTCCATTTCTGCCTGCTCTAGAGACAGTCGCTCTGGAGGCCTGTGACGGGTGCCCTTCCTGCCCAGGTTCTTATTCTCAGGTCTGAGAAGCTATGGCGTGAGTGCTTGAGCCGATCGTCTGACTTTGAATCCTCATTGTGTCTCTTCATGGCCCTGCCAACCGCAGGCCAGCTGGTTCACCTCGGCACATGCCTTCACTTAGCTGGAAGCTGGGGGTGGTGAGCACATCCTCCCACGGGCTACTGTGAGGGCTACCTGCTTGAATCAACACGTGTAAAGCACTCACAGAAGTGCCATGCACAAAGTACTGTATATACTTGTGTCTACGTTGAGTGTTTCAGCACATTTTTAATGCAGTTTTTGTGGTAAAATTAGAGCCCTCGGCTGATACTCAGGGCAGCTTATACTCGAGTATGTATGGTAAGTGGTCAGTACATTTTAGTTAATGCTTTAGGCTGCTAACTGCAAGGTCAGCAGTTCAAAACCACCGACCACTTCATAGGGGAAAGATGAGGCTTTTAGCACCCATAAAGAATAGGCAGGGAGGTTGGAGGGAAATGGGGAACCAATAACAGTACAAATTTGCAGTGATGATTATACAACACTCTGAACTATGAAAGTGTATATATTTATATGTCAACAAAACTCTGCGTTACTGCCCCCCCTCCCCCCTTGGAAACCCGCAGGAGCAGCTCTACTCTGCCCGATAGGATCGCGATGCATCAGAATTGATGCCAGTGGGTTTAAGGGGCTTTTTCGAATGACAACTAACCTGCTTCCCTCAGCCTATCCATAGGCATGATGACCTCGTATGTGATAGAGCAGAAATCGGACTGACTTTCATCCACAGTGTGGATCCCAAACCAACGCGGTGCTGTCCAGTCGGTGCCCACTCACAGTGCCCTATAGGGCAGGTTAGAGCTGCCCCGGCGAGTTTCTGAGCTGGGAACTGTTTACGGGAGTAGAAAGCCCCATCTTTCTCCTGAGAACCCCCACATGGTTTTGTACCGCCGACCTTGGGGTTCACAGCCCAGAGTGTCATCACCACACCACGAGTCTTGAGGTGAGTAGCGGAGAGCAAACTGCCCGCCCAGTGACCTGTTTACGACCAGGGCGACCTTTCTACGTGTCCGTCAGCGCATTCTGTAGGTTTACAAAATGTACGTAGATGGAATCCATGTACATCTTACTTAAAAATTATTTTTGTTAGACTCGAAAATTCTACCAGGCAGCTTCAAAAATAATTGTGGAAAAAGGGAATGAAAAGATAATGGAATTTTCCATGAACTTTTAAAAATGTGCCTGGT